ACACTCTTTGGGCCAGAAGGGAACCCGCTGTCATGAAGGGAAGGATCCGATCCTGGCAGCATTCATCACCTGCTGACTCAAGGGCCCTTGAGCCCTGAATAACCAGCAGTGACACTCAGGTACCACACTGAGGGCCTTGGATGAGCCTCTCACATGACTGGCTGCAGGTGAGACTCAGCACATTCCCCCATGTGGTGGCTATGGGGCTGAAACTCCCTCTGCTTAAAAAAACCATGGAGGAAAGAGTAAAGAGGACTTTGTCTTGGACCTTAGGTATCAGCTAGGCCTCAGGAGGGTAGAGCACCAAGTGGGCTCCTGGGGTCCTCAATTCTAGGACTTGGCTCTTAGGAAGCATTTCCAATCCTGCCCTGGGCCAGAGGGGAGCCCACTGCCCTGAAAGGTGAGTCCCAAGCCAAGGAGGCTTCACCACAAACTGACAGAAGAGCCCTTGGACCTCAGGGAGCATCAGCAGTAGTCTGGCAATACTCCCCATGGGCATGTGGCAGCCCTGGCCACGGGGTGCGGCTCCTCTGCTTTTGAAAAGGGGAGGGAAGAGTGAGAAAGACTGTATCTTATGGTTTGAGTGCCGGCTCAGCTGTGATACCATAGAATATCGGGCAGATTTCTAAGGATTTTTACTTTTGTCCCTGGCTCCCGGATGGCCCTCTGGACCTTCCTGGGGCCTAGGGGACCTCACTACCCTGAAGAGAAAGACACAGGCCTGGTTGGCTTTGCCACCTGCTGATTTTAGAGCTGTGAGGCCTTGAGCAACCATGAGTGGTAGTTATGAAGTGGTTACAGCAGGCTGTGGCTGAGATTCAGTGTTGGGCTAGCTTCAGACCTGAACCAGGGCACTTTTAGTGGTGGTTGCCACAGGGGTGCTTATGTAACTCCACCCTTAGTTCCAAGTGGCTCAGAACACAGACAAAGATTCTGTTTGGAAGAAAGACAAGAGTGTTTGTCTGGTAATCTGTCGAATTCATCCAGATCTTGTTCAAGAATATCAAGGTGGTACCTTGATGAGTCTGCAAGAGCTACAGCATTACTGGGCTTGGTGTGCCCCCTAAAGTAGACACGCCTTAGATCACAACACACATGTCCTTTTGAATATCTGGAATGTCTTCCTAAGTAGGATATGTACAAACAAGTCCAGATGGTAAAGACTATAATAAATTCATAACTTTTCAATGCCCACACACTGATCATCTACTAGCATCAACACTATCCCAGAAAACATGACCTCAGCAGATAAACTAAATAGCCAATAGGGAACAACCATGTAGAAACAGAGATGTGTGGCCTTTCAGACAGAGAATTCAAAGTAGCTGTTTTAAGGAAACTCAGAGAAATTCAAGAAAACACAGAGAGGGCATTCAGAATTCTATCAGATAAATTTAACAAAGAGATTGAAATCATTGAAAAGAATCAAGTAGAAATTCTAGAGCTAGAGAATACAATTGGCATGCAATACATTAGAAATATCCCTCATCATGACCAAGTGGGATTTATCCTTGAGATGCAAGGATGGTTCAACATATACAAATTTATCAATGTGATGCATCATATTAACAGATGAAGGATAAAAACCATATGATCATTTCAACTGATGCTAAAAAAACCATTTGATAAAGTTCAACATCACTTCATGATAAAAACTGTTAAAAAAAACTGAAGATAGAAAGGACACAACTCAATACAATAAAAGCTATATATGATAGACACACAGCTAGTGTACTGAATGGGGAAAAACTAAAGCCCTTTACTCTAAGATCTAGATCATGACAAAGATGCCCACTTTCTCTACTATTGTTTAATATAATACTGGAAGTCTTAGCTAGAGCAATTAGACAACAGAATGAAATAAAGGGCATCCAAATTGGAATGGAAGAAGTAAAATTATTCTTGTTTGCAGATTATATGACCTTATATTTGGAAAAACCTAAAGACTTCATCAAAAAACTCTTGGAACTGATGAGCAAATTCGGTAAGATTGCAGAATACAAAATTAGCATTTAAAAATCAGAAGCATTTCTATATGCCAATAGTGAACAAGATGAAAAAAATGTAATCTCATTTATAATAGTCATAAATAACATTAAATACTAAGGAATTAACCTAAGAAGTGAAAGATCTCTATAATAAAAACTATAAAACACTGACGAAACAAACTGAAGAGGAAACAAAAAAGTGGAAAGGTATTCCACATTCATGAATGGGAAAAATGAATATTTTTTAAATGTCCATACTATCTAAAGCAGCATACAGATTCAGTGCAGTCCCTATCAATACACGAACGACATTCTTTACAGAATTAGAAAAAAAATCCTAAAATTTATAAGGAACCGTAAAAGACCCTGAATAGGCAAAGTTATCTTTAGCAAAAACCAAAACTGGAGGAATCACATAACTGGATTTCAAATTATACTACAGAGCTATGTAACCAAAACAGCATGATACTGGCACAAAAACAGACACATAGATCAATGGAACAGCATAGAGAACCCAGAAACAAATCCACACGTCTACAGTAAACTCATTTGTAACCAAAAGTGCCAAGTACATACACTAGGGAAAAGATAGTCTTTTCTATAAATGTGCTGGGAAAACTGGATATTCACATACAGGAGAACGAAACTACACCCCTATCTCTCACCATATACAAAAATCAAATCAAAGTAAATTAAAGACTTAGATGTAAGACCTCAAATTATGAAACTACTACAAGAAAACATTGAGAAAACTCTCCAGGACATTGGTCTGAGCAAAAATTTCTTGAGTAATACCCCATAAGCACAGACAACAGAGCAAAAATAGACAAATGGGATCCCATCAAGTTAAAAAGCTTCTGCACAGCAAAGGAAACACTCACTCCACAAAATGAAGAGACAATCCACAGAATGGGAGAAAATATTCGCAAACTACCCATCTGATAAGGGATTAATAACCGGAATATATAAGGAGCTCAAACAACTGTCTAGAAAAAATAATCTAATAATTTAATTATAAAATGGCCAAAAGATCTGAATACACATTTCTCCAAAGAAGACATACAAATTGCCACCACACATAGTAAAGGGTGCTCAACATCATTGATTATAAAATAAATGCAAATCAAAACTACAATGAGATATAATCTCAACCCAGTTAAAATGGCTTATATCCAAAAGACATCAACAAATGCTGGTAAGGATGTGGAGAAAAGGGAACCATTATACACTCTTGGTGAGAATGTAAATTAGCACAACCACCGTGAAGAAAGTTTTGGAGGTTCTTCAAGAAACTAAAAATGATCCATCAATCCCACTGGATATACCCAAAATAAAGGAAATCTGTATCAAAGAGGTATCTGCACTCTCCTGTTTGTTGTGGCACTTTTCACAATAGCCAAGATTTTGAAGCAACCTAAGTATCCATCAACAGATAAATGGATAAAGAAAATGTGGTACTTGTATACAATGGAGTACTATTCAGCCATAAAAAGTGATGAGATCCTTTAATTTGCAACAACATGGATGAAACTGGAGGTCATTATGTTAAGTAAAATAAGTCAGGCACTGAAAGATGAACATCACATATTCTCACTTATTTGTGAGCTCTAAAAGGAGAATCAATTTGTTTTGGGAAGGGAAGAGCAGTTTCTTCTTCTGTTTAATAAACTTTGACATTGAGATGCACTCAAGGGCCTGGGGTAGAAGTGGAGAAGTGACCCACATTATGTCTGCCCTCCTAAAGCCTGAAGCAGGCAGAGCAGGTCCCTCCAGGTGCAAAGAACACTCAGGAGTGGATGGAGCAGGCAAAGTGCCCTGTAAGAGGAGCAGGGCAGAAAGGCTTCAAGGAATAATATAATTATTGCCTAAAAGTTATTAATTTCCTATACAATATAAACTGTTCTCAGCCACATAAGAAACTCAAGAGACTTCTACAAAGTTTGAAATATGCATCCCATATTTCTAAGCCATATTGAATTAAGCCAAGAAAACAACTTAACAAAAATATACACATTAATGACCACAGTGATGCAATAATTACAGCAATAGGTCAGGCACAGTGACTCGTGCCTGTAATCCCAACACTTTGGGAGGCCAAGGTGGGTGGATCACTTGAGACTGGGAATTCAAGACCAGCCTGACCAACATAGAAAAACCCCGTCTCTACTAGAAATGCAAAACATTAGCTGGACGTGGTGGCACACACCTGTAATTCCAGCTACTCAGGAAACTGAGGCACAAGAATCCCTTGAAGCCAGGAGATGGAGGTTGCCAAGATGCATCGCTGCACTCCAGCCTAGGTGACAGAGCAAGGCTTGTTAAAAAAAAGTACAGCAATGTCCAGATGCGCAGGTTCTGGAACATGGTGTAATCATGGCTCATTATAGCCTCAACCTTCTGGGCTCAACTGGTCCTCCGGTTTCAGCCTCCCAAGTAGCTGGGATTATAGACACATGCTACCATGCCAGGCTAATGTTCAAATTCCTTGGGGAAAGCAGTATGTAGTATTCATATTTGAATTTTATTTAATAAGTATTTTAGATTTAATATAGCATAACAAATATTTACTGGATAAGTGGACAATTGAATATCTGATACTCTACATCTTATTTCTCTGAAACTTACATACTTGAAAACTCAGCTCAGATATCACTTTGTGCTAGAAATTGTCCCTAAAACTTATTTTCTCCCCAGGCTAATATGTTTTCTATAATCTCTTAACGAAATTCTGGATTGAAAACCTACCACTTGGTAAAGACTGTTAATCCTCAATAGCAGTCCTTCATCTTTCAGGAACAAACCATGTTCAAGACAGCCTCCAATAAGGGTGTATAAATGGCTGGAATTGTCCCAGTAGTGAACAGCTACATCAATATCAGTAAGTTTTATAAAGTATTGTATCATGAGCACTGCCATCAAACAGAGAATACAACTCAAAAAAGGTGAGGAGGGAGGGGAGACATATTTTAATTATTTATTTAAAATTAATTTCAAATTTACAGAAAACTAGCATAAATAAAAGTAGTACAAAGAACATCTATGTACCCTTTACATAGACTCAACTATTGTTAACTGTGAACTCTTTTTGCTTTTTCATTTCTCCCTCTCTCTCCATTTTATACTTTATAACTTTTATCTTCTAACTAGTATCATTATGTATTTCCAGAATATGAAAATCTCCTATAGAATCAGAAAGTAGTTATGAACTTCAGTAACTGTAACATCAATATAATATGACTGATTAATGCATTTTGAAGCGAGACAGAGTGTAAAATTGAAAAGCTTTCTAGTACAGGGAAGCAATTTCTAAAAGAGGTGTGAAAATAAGATGAAACACCAGGGCAGTCGCAGAGTCTGGGAAATAACACGGGACCAACACTCTCATATCTGGCGTGCAGAGAGAAGGAAAACTAAATTACTGTCAAAATGGTCTACTTCATAGTTTTTTGAAAGGCAGGTCCCACAGTTAACATTTTCTTCAGAGCCCCCATGATATCCTTATTCCTAAGACTATAGATCAAAGGATTCAGCACTGGAGTGAGGATGGTATAAAAGACAGATACCATCATGTCCTTCTCAGGAGTGTGGTAGGAGCTGGGGAGCATGTAGGTATAGATGGCAGCCCCATAGAAGAGGATGACCACAGTCAGATGGGAGGAGCAGGTGGCAAAGGCCTTTTTTTGGCCCTCTGCTGTGTTCATCCTGTGGATAGTGAGGAGGATGCATAAATAGGAGCTTGAAATGATTGTCACAGGAACGAGGAGCATGAGGACACAGCATAGGTACATGAAAATCTCATAGATTGAGGTGTCTGAACAGGAGAGTTTCAATACAGCAGGAACTTCACAAAAGAAATGATAAATCTCCCGGGATCCGCAGAAGGGGAAGGTCATGGTGATGGGAGTGAACATGAAGCCATCCACTGAGCCCAGGAACCAGCAGCCCGATGCCAGGAACAAACACGCCTTATAGCTCATGAGGACAGGATAACGGAGAGGATGGCAGATGGCCATGTAGCGGTCATAGGCCATGGCGGCTAGAAGGAAAAATTCCGAACCTGCTAGTGTCACATAGAGGAACATCTGCATCCCACACGCAGGGGCTGAGATCTTATTCACATCCATGACCTGGTCCAGGAGCATCTTGGGTACAGTGACAGAAATGTACACCATGTCCATGAGAGACAATTGACTGATGAAAAAGTACATGGGGGTGTGGAGGTGGGCATCAGAGTGTATCAGAAGGATGAGGAAAGCATTTTCAGACAATGCCATTAGGAAAATCACAAAAATGACCACACAAAGTAGAGCAGGATGTTTGGATTGTCTGAAGAGTCCCACCAAGATGAAATCTGACCATCCAGTGTGGTTGGCCATCCAGGTGACGTTGGCCATAAGGTTTCACCTAAGTAACCAAGGAAAGCTTGGGGTTGTTATTCTAGCCTCTGAAACAAGTGTGTGTGTGTGTGTGTGTGTGTGTGTGTGTATGTGTGTGTGTGTGTGTTCTAAGCAAAGAAAGGCCCATGGGCCTGTAGATCTGGGGGTTATAAATTATCTATATTACAACACATTTACCAGGAACTAAGAATTCACAACTGCGGATCAAAATGGTGATTCGTACTAAAATTGCTACAGTCCTGAGTCATGAGATTTCCTGATGAGAGCATCTGTTATATACAAGTCCTAGAAACTGGCATGTCACTGCCCTATGCAGACACAAATAGTGAATTATTGGAAAAAAAGAGAAGTTGGTCCCTTGCTTTTAGAGTTTTTTAGGGAAGTCTGAAGTGAATTACATTCTCTGCTTTAAGGGTTCATCTAGAAGCTTAAAAACTCTCAGAGGTGTATTTCATATAGTAATTATTTAGAAAGTGACTAAAATATCATTTGTGGAAAACTCATACCAAACATTTGCACTCTTCCACCCACAGTATTGGACAATGCTGTGAGGCTCTGTGGTTTCATGGAGCAAAACCCCACACATCCCCATGAGCAGGGCGGGGTCCTTCTGCACACCAGACACCTCAGAAGCCCGAGGCGCATGGGACGAGGAGCCCAGAGTCAGTGGCTGGACTGCGGGGTGGACCCAGCCTCCCCTCTATCTGGTATTCCTATGTTCATTGAACATAAAAATAGACAATATGAAAAAGTTTGATTTCAGGGTTGATGAAGATTAAATGCAGAAAAGTAATAAAAGTGCTTAGAATATTACCAGTTACAGATGAATAAATACATATACAATCAAACAGTTAATATCTACATGAATTATTCTGCAGACTCCATTACTATTATTATCTAATAATATGAGTTTCATTACTTCAGTTTGCTGATTTTATCATCTATTCAGATATTTAAGAATTTGGATTTGATAATTTCTGTAGTCTTAGACAACTTGTATATATACAGGTTACACTTATTTTATATAAATTCATATAAATGTATAGATGTGCATTTATATATACATATATATAATATGTGCAGATTCACAAATATAAGAATACATTTTATATGGATATTTACAAATAGAAATGCATATATTAATATAACACATATTTCTGACTTTTATCTTGGTTAAGCAGAGATTTATGGAGAATCCTACCTCCTTTGTGGCTAGTGTATGCTTCTCCAAGCTTAACTCCTTAAAAGCTCCTGTCATTTGCATTAAATCTCAGGGGACATAACTTGGATTTAGAAACTCCTTGCCATTTACCAGGCAAGACTTTTGTTGTTTTTGCAAACATCATCTGCTTTATTGCCTGCTACAGTCAATTTTTTTCATGGAAACTAAGAGGCAGAGAAGAAACTAAAACAACACTAAGATGTCTCTGACTTCAATTCCCTCCTCTGTCTTGCTCCTTACAGCCTGTCTCTGTGTTAGATAGTCCAGGAATCAAAGCAAATTAAATTTGATTAAGCTTGAGGAGGTCACAGTCAATCTATTCAGGAAAAAAATATATATATAAACATGATCTAAAGTACAACTTCAGATTAGAATAGTTATGAAATAAATTAACAAGGCTAACAAAAGCAAAATGCATTTAGCCTTTCTGAAGAGAATCACTAATAACTCCTACATTTTCTCTTAAGACTAAAACTTTGCAATTTTTCAACTTCTGATAGATGTTAAATTTTAGTATTTATCAAGAAGAAGAAAATATAGGTTTCTTTTTCTGGGAAGACTTTAGCAGTGGTTAACATACAGTCATTTTTCAGGAAGAATTTCCACGTTTCAAATACACTTTATATTCTTTTAATAATTCTAAATTAAACTGTATTTCTAAGTTTTGGGGTGCTGATGCAGTAGACAACACTGCAAATGAATTTGGTGTCTTAATTTAAATGCTTGTGAAACATGGGACATACTGCATTTAAAATTATAACATTCCTTTATAATCCCACCCTCACTGGCAAATGAAAGTCAGCACCTGTGCAAAATTTTTAAACAGTCTGACAAATCATGCACCTGCTGACCTAGTCTGTATTTGAGGTCAGAGTGAAGTAAGGGCCAGCGCAGTGACTGGCACATGTGAAAACCGGGCAGCTATTTGCTAAGTGAGTGGAGGGAGAGCAAGAGGGCAGTGCTGGAGGGAAGGTGGATGCTGGGCAAATCTCTCCTGCACTTTTGTAAATGGGAGTCACTGTCATTAAGCCAGGCTGATCAGCTGACCTGGGGAGCAGACAGACGAGGGAACACTGCAACATGCAGCAGAATTGGTCTTTTTCTTTCTTTTGTTTTTCTTTATCACGTTGCTTGAGTTTCCAAACAGCATAATGCATGTTTAAGTTGGGGGATAATTAACAGTGGTGGTAGAGCAATATAGAACATTTATCTGAATCTTACAGTATCCTAGGAATTGTTGTAAATGCCAGTTTACCACATTTAATCTTCCTCAAGGGCCTCTGACATATAAAATCTTATTTTCACCATTTACAGATTTAAAAATTCAAGTTTTGGGGTATCTAACATCACACAGGTAACCTGATGGAGCAAGTATACCAGTCCCATACCAGGTATGGGACCCACAGCATATCACTTACCTCAGTTCTCTTGGGGACACAGTCCTCCCTCCATAGTTTAAAATTTGGGTTTTAGATAACTCACTGCCAGTTTTATCAGGAAAACATAAATATGATTGAAGCATTTGTTGCTAGTGTTTTCTAACTCTAAGATATAATTTCCATTCAAAGAAAAATTAAGTTTTTCTTCTGCAAAATTTTTATCTCACTAAAACAAACATATAATTCAATAATAGAGGAAGAATATATATTATTTTGTCCATAAATACTTGGAAATAAAAAACCTATTTACTAATATGTTGTAGTAAATAAGTGTTATATAAAATGAGACTCAAAAGAAAAAGAAAACAGATTGGCTTTTCTCCATAAAAACAGATTAATAGAGGAAAATGAGGAAATACGGTTCAAGAACTAATAGAAATGTTTCAAAAGCAAAACAAAAGTCAAGAACCGTGATTTCCTTTTGCTCCTGCAATACTGTCTGCCTGTCTGGTGGACTCACCAACAGATAATGTCTTGACCCTCATTTAGACGGGCTAATGGTATGTGGCTGGCTTAAGTGTGCAAAGGAAAATAGAAAAGTTACATCATCCCTGGTTTCACTGTGTCCATTAGGGGTGTAAAGAAAAGTTTTCTGTTAACAAATCCTCTCTGGGATTTTCAAGAAGAATGCAAATAAAGGAGCTAAAGAGGCTAATAGATGTCTCTGTTGCCTTTTTCTGATTTTCTTCTCCTGTTTTGTTTTCTTTTTTCTTAAGATACAGGATCTCACTATGTTGCCCAGGCTGTAGAGCAGTAGTTTTTCACAGGTGTGATGACAGTACACGAAGGCCTCAAACTCCTGGCCTCAAGTGATCCCCTCCACCTCGTCTCCTGAATAGTTGGTACTGCAGACACCCACAACTGTACCCAGTTGTTTTGTTGTTGTTGTCATTTAACCTCCTTTTATTGACAAAGTGAAAATCTCAACAAATATTAACAATAATCTCAAATTTAGCCATCACTAATGAATTTTTATTTATGATGTATGAGTTAGTTATATATTTGGCCTTTTATGTTTTACACAATATTTTTATGTGTGTTTTTGTGTCTCCTTTAAACTTCAAGAAATTTTTGTAAAATATTGCTATTTGTGTTCCAATCTTTCACAAATATAGGCTTTGAAACTCAGAGTTTCAATTGATGTGTCAAAGACAGTATCACTAATCAGTAATGTACTCCATACTAAAATTGAGGTTGTCTTTTTCATATCTTCATTGCTGTCACTCTTCATTCGGTTGTTATGTCCTTTCTTCTGTCACTCACCTGCAGGCTGTATCACTTTAGGGATGCATTTAATTTTAAAGTTTGTTTTTATTTTAAATATTGACATGACTAAAAAAATCTAAAAACACAGCTGGTACAAAGAAAATTTAAAAATCAATCATAATGTAATAGTCCAGATATAAACAAAACCTTACCGTTAAACTTAAATATTTATGAAGTATACACCATGTAGCAGACATCTGGAATAAAATAGGGAACAAGGTGAAAGCAACTCCACCCTCTTGGATCTTGCAGACAAGTATTTCTGAACTGTTTTCTGTGCATGTGTTTTAGAATGTTGTTGATCATGTTCCCATGTCATGGATGTCTTCATGACAACCTTTGTCTGGATGGTGTCTGTCTTCTCTTTGCTGGGCCCACGCTTGAGGGCTGGAGCTTCCACTGACTTCCAGGGCTTCAGCCGGCAGAGAGCTTGTCCTGACTCCTGTGCTGCCTCGTTTCCTGTAAGGCTATGGAGTGCAGGCCCTGGGGGGACACTGGAGAGCAGGAGAAAGAAGGAAATTGTGTCTTATTTCCTGCTCCCGGTGATGATCTCTCGCAGCAGCAGCAGCAACTGCAGGCAGCAGGGGCCATGTGGGGGTTGTAGACTTACAATAAGATTCAGCAGTATTTGTGGGGACGCAGGCATCTGGGTTACTGCATATCAGCATGCAACGGTCACACAAGCATTCCTGGGCATGCGGTTTCCATCAGCTCAGCACTGAGGAGCATATCCGGTTGCCACATGAGGTGACAACTCCTGGTCCTTGGGTGATAACACTCAGCTCCATGCTCCATCAGCCTTCCCTGCAGCCCTCTTTGCCACCCCATAACCACTTTAGTACATTAAATCTGTTCTATTTAAAATGGGTAACGTGTGTATATGTGACTAGACATTGATATTCTATCAAATTAATTATACCACAATTACAATCTAAATAGTGAATATTTACACTGTGTTCAAATTTCTAAGTGATAAATTGTTTGACATTTTAAATAGCTTATTTACAAAGGATTATCTTTTTATCGCGTATATTTAAGGTATACAACCTATTTTTATATGCACAGTGAAATTATTACTAATGATTACTA